ATTTTCCTGTCTTTTTATAAGACCCTCCGTTCGGTTGATTAATTATCCTTTTTCTTTGACCTTCCATTCGGTTAATTAATTATCCTTTTATTTCGGTAACTAATTTATCCGAATCATTTTCTTCTGTGATTTATTTGTCTTGTGTAATCTTCCTTTTCAGTCCGTAATTTATCTAAGTATTATTCTTTTCTCTTAATAAAGTGATTATTTCTCTTTTAACATATGACTTTTTCTTGTGACTTTTTACTGAATATTGTTGATAATTTCCTTTTGTATTACTGCGCCTTGATTAATGAAATTGTTGACTCTACAACGTATAGCTAATATTATAGATAAACAGAAAAATATGATATAAGAGACTTTCAGGATTATTTGAATTAATTCTAGAATATTGTAAAATTTGTTGAATTTGTTAAGGATTAATAGCTATTGAATCAGATTTTTCGCTAAATCCATGTTCTTGCAGATTGCGTAATTTGTCATGTAAAACATCATGTAAATCAGAAAACATATATTTATTGTGCAAATTAATATATGAAATAGGTGAATTATGAAGAAGATGTCTATTAAGTGCATCAACAGCTTGCTTAACTGATGTTGCTTTATATTCATTGCTATCTTTTTTTTCATTGTAGAGATAAATTCTACAATTTGTTTTTGAAGTTACAATATGTTATTAAGTTCAGTCAAAGGAATAAAATAATCTGCATTGTTACGAAATTCTTCAAATTTTATAGTCTAACTTTTAGTAGATTTTTTAATATTTTTTACTTTTGCTTTTTCACGATAATAGGAAGCTTTTTTTTTGAGCAATATCTTGAATATTGGTAATAGAATCATTAGAAATTAAATTAGCTGCTGTTTGAAAACTTGGAAAGGGCATATTTGTTACAGAAGAAATTCTATTTTTTTTACCTATAGTTAAAATGAAAGAGAAGGGAAATAAAAATTAAAAAGGTGAAGTGAGAAAGTTAAGTAAAAAAAAGGATAACGCTAAAAAAGATGGATGATTGAAAAGTTTATTGTAGTAAAAAAAATTGTAAAAAAAAGGAAGGATAGCGCTAAAAAAGGATGATCAAAAAGTTTATTTATAGATAAAAAAAGTTAGTTGTGTTGTATATTTATGATGATATGATGAAACCGTGATATAAAACAGTTATTTCACAGAATTTCTATAAAATAACTATTACATATGAGGTAAGTGCTAGGAAAAAGGACCAAATTGATAAAATTTTTTTTTGAAATAACAAATGATTTGAATTAGATGACTAAATCTACATCTATTTTACTTAGGAAATTTTTTTTAAAAAAAAAATCAATTTGGTCCATTTTTCCAACACTCATCCTATATATTTCCAATTATTTACTAAATCTCAATCTCTAATTTGTTTTATATAATATTTTGCTGTTCCCCATTCTTGTTTTAATTGGTTCCCTATCAATTATATTTTTTACAATATTTCCTGTCCTATCTATCTTATTTATTCCATAAAAAGCAATAAGTTTTCAATATTTCATTACGAAAGAAATAATATAAATTTGATTGTGAAAATCTAGATTTAAGACTTTCAATAATTACTTCAGAAAAATTTTTAATAAATGGTGGTAAATTATTTGGTGAAATATTATAATCTTGCATATATTTATGCAAGTGCTGTTATTGCATCATATTTTGTATCTAAATGAATTTCTTTATATTCCTATTCAATGCATTTGTAAACTTAACCCCAGAAATAGCTGTTAGAGTTATTTTTTTGCTATAATAGTCTTCTAGCAATATAATACTATTGCTTATTAACAAATAAAAGAGAATATATTTTCTCATCCTATTCTTTCTATGATTTTGGAAAACTCTATTGAGAATCTTATTTGGCAAAAATAAGTAATAGATGGGAGATTTTTCTGACTTCTTAGTAAATAAAGGAATTATTTCTTCAAAATCAACACATTTTAGATTTATTGCATTTTTTATCATCATGATGCCTGATTTTGCAATTTTAGATTGCTCTTTCCACCTACATATCTTTCTATTAGCTATTCAGTATTTTTATCTAAAATAATAAAACCATCTATGTGGATACACTTTATACAATCTTCTAGTAGTCTAATTTTCTGATATAGTTTTGCGTCCCTTTGCTGAGATAAAAGGTATTATACGTTGATGTGATCCTGGTCTTCTCTCATCTAGGTATAATCATCTTTAAAGTGATATTAGCATATGTTTGGCTAATTTTCCAACTTATCCACCTTCTTTCTTGATCTCTGTAAGATAACTTGCCTTTGATTGAAAATTTCATGTCTCCTTATAAATTTACTTCGCTTAAATATTAAAGCATTAAGACTTTTAGTAAATAATTCTATATAGAGACTTAAATTTATTGCTATTAATAAATCATAATGAATGTAATATCCTGTAAGATTATAACGAAATTCTTTTATACATTTTTTTCTGCTGGTTGACCTTCTATGAAGACTCAAGAAATACCATACTTTGAATTATGAATATATATGATTGTTTTAAATTCTCCTGCTCTTACAGGTCAGCCTGCAGTATAACTAGTTAAGATGTGTAAATAATATTTATTGAAATCCAATTTAGTTACATTTTCTTCATATGGCTTAACCCAGTGTTGGGTAATTGGACAATTTTGGACAGTTTTGAACAGTTTTGGACAGATTTTAGACAGATTTTAGACACAATTTTATATGTCCAAAACCTTGTCCAAAATATTTAAAATTAAAAAATAAGTCCAAAACCCATCATTGGCTTAACTCATACTAATCCTTTTATATAAGTTAATTTAATCCAATAATCTTTTTCCTGAGATAAGTTCTCTACTTTTCTAGAGGCTTTAGTTACATTCTAAAAGAATCGCAAACTTGTCATAGCATATATAACTATTTTTTATAAATTAATCTGTTTCTTATTCTACCATAAGATTACACTGACTTTTTCGTTATATCATTTATATGTTTTCTGAAGTATCTCATTCAGATTGGCCTTGATTAAAAACTAATCTTGTAATAAATTATAGAAATCTTTTTCAGAACTAATCCATTATATAAAACTATCATCAAACTTAATATATAATCTTGTTTTTTTCAGAATAAGAATCTCTGGATAGCTAAATATAGTATCATTTTGTTTAGTATTTTTAGTAAGTTAAAGTAGTGTTATAGACACTTTCCTTTTCAGACTCCAGTTTTGGTTTAACTTTTGCTTCAAGTAGTTATAATGTTGGGTTTTCTTAGCTTAATAAGAAATTTCTAAATAATCATCCTAATACATCAGTAATACTACTAAGTATTCTGCTCATTTTTTTTCTAAAAGTTATATATGGTTAGAAAAAAGTTTAAAATAAAAATTATTTTATTTAGATAATTAGGGTTTGACATTTATTCAAAAAAAAACTATAATAGGATTTTATCATTATCTCTATATCCTACAAAGTGATCAGTTTACAATGAAGAATGTTATTATTTAGAAAGTATAAAATTTACTAGAATTCTTCTAGATAAGTTCTCTACATTGAATGCAAAAAACTAACTTTCTCTGTTTATAATGCATGTAGAAAATATGCAGGTAAGTATCATTTTTGAGATTTTATCATCAGCATAAGCTTGTGAAAATTTAGGTGATCAGCATTATACTCTAATCATAAGCGAAAAGTCAGAAAGTGCTGGAGAAATATTGAAAATAAATTTATTTACATAAAATTTTTTTGCATTTTTGGCTTTGCTTTACAACTCTATAAATATATTTCTTGTTTATAGATACTTCATTTTGCTCTGCAACTCTATGAACATTATTTGTTTTCATATCTTGTTTACAGATACTTCACTTTGCTTCACCTATAGTAAACATGTATACTTTTTGGATTTAGCTATATTATATATGAAAATTTTTGATACTCAGAATGAAAACCAAATAAGATTCAGATTTATTTATGTTAAGTATAATTTTATAGAAAGCAAATGTTTATAGAGTGAATAATATTTAAGAAAGCAAATGTTTATAGAGCGAATAATATTTAAGAAAGCAAATTTATTTCCTTATATTTACAAGTATAATTACAGTTAAGTTTATACTATATGTTTTTTAATAGCTAAGATACCTTTTGGTATCATTTGAATAAAATATGCCAAAAGCCTATTTCTTTACTATTATAATATTAGATTTATTAATTTATTTTTTTATATTTAAATATATGTTTATACAAAAATTTTTTTAAATATTTTAATAAAAAAACTAAAATATTTATTTTATAATTTTAGTTGTTTGACTGTATCTGTAATTTCTTATTTCTCTAATTTTTTTAGTTATATTATAAATAGTTATTTTCTTATATATATATTATTTTCATTATATTAATATCTATTTTATATTAATATATTTATATAAATATCCTGTATCTTTACCCTGATAAATGGCAGAACTTTCTACTAATCTCTAATAAAACAATAATATTTATCTTTTAAGACTTAATCTTTGCTTATTTACAACTTATTCTTCTTTAAATCTACTGTATATCAATATAGATGACCTGACCCTTCAATATAATTAAGTCATATCGATATGTATTTATTTCTTTTATAATTTAACTTAGTATAACTTTCTTTTTAGCAAATACGATCTGTTAACTTAGTTTAGTAAAATCACATTACGGATCATATGATTTACATTTACTATGCCTCATATTTTTCTTTTTTTTTATTGGTTGGATGCAAATATATATCTTAACCAATCAGAATCAGAATTATTTTATATAAAGAGTTCTAATACTAATTTGACTCCTTTAAATAAAAAAAAAGCTTTTGAAAATAAGTAAATTTTATTTATCAAATTTTTTTATCGATTAAAATATTCATGTCTTTAGTTCATTCAAAAAAGTTTTTTTTTTTTTCGTAATTATTAATATATAGTGGCTTCTGGATTCGGCTATAATGGAGATCGTAGTAGATGTTTTGCTTTCTGGCAAGAATTTCGTAAATGTTATGCTATGGCTGATAGACCCGATCAATGTACATTACAAAAGGACGATTATTTTGAATGTTTACATCATACAAAAGAGGTACTCGTTAAGAAGTAATTTTTACTTATAATTCGTTCTTAAATAATCATTTTATTTATTTAGAAAGCACGTGCTAAATCTATTAAAATTCAAGAATTAAAATTAATTGAACAACGAAAAAAACAAGATGAAATATCTCGTAAATTAACTGATTCTGCTAATAAAAGTAATGTAATGAGATTAGGTATTATAGAAGATAATGATAAACAAAAATAATCTTCAAATTTCTAAATAATTTTTTTTTTTGATTACCATAATGAAAAACTATTTTATCAATCAAAAATTTATCTACAAAGTTTACAATTGAAAACAAAACTACGTTGAATCTTTTGAAATGAAATGTACGTTATTATATTTCTGTAATTTTAATGTCTCTACTAATTAATCTCGATTTTCATATAGTTCATCCTCATCAGTCAATGTTACACTCTTTCCTTTACCCTTGTTGCCTTTAACTTCATCACTTAGAGAATTTTCATTTATATTCGAGCCCGTATTAGTATTAATGAAATTAGCATTTTCAACATTATTATTTTCAACTGAATCTGTATTATTATTATTATTATTTACTGATGAATTATCGTCCGCTGATGATGTGGAAATGTTCAACTCTGATGTTGGGATACTAGGTAATGCACTGACAGCCTGTGTAAGCACGCTGATAACATTATAAATTTGTACTTGTGCTTCTTGTAATATTCTTATTTTCTCCTCAAATGCTGCACGAGTATTTGTTTCCAATAAACGAATTTGTTCTTCCGTTAAAGGTTCCAATGTTGTTGTTGAAGCATTTAAATTATTATTATTCTCTATACCATTATTTCTTAGCGGTAGAACTGGGAAAAGTGGTATTAATCCTGGTGTATTTTGCATAGGCAATTGTGATAAATTAATAGGTTGAAAAGGCATTGATGGCTGTGCATTATTAAATGTCCGTGAAGCTGACGATGATTGATCCCAGTGTATCCTAGATGTAACTGGTTGATTAGGTCTCCGTGTTGAATTATTTTGATTTTGTGTACTAGATGATGTTGAACTAGATTCCTCATGTGTCTATAAAGATAATAAACTTAATAAACATTATTATATACGGTGATTGTATTTTCAGTTAATTAACTACATACCTCTGTTGTCGATCTATCTCCAATATTGGACTGAGAATTTTGTGGCTGCGTCTCTTGTGGATTATTTTGTTGTGGAGGTTGTGGAATATTCTGATTTATACCATTAGCTTGTTCACCCATATTAGGTGCATTTGCTAGAGGAATAGGAGCCATAGGCAATTGTCCATGAAATTGTCCATGCATCGCTGGAGGTGGCAGCATTACAGCAGGAAACGCTGGGAATGCGTTAGCAATGAATCCTGGATGATTTGGGAAAGGCATTCCTGGCGGTAATTGAGGTTGTGGTGGTGGTTGTCCTTGTGGTACATTACGGACAGGTTGTGCCTGAATGGGACGTTGTTGTTGCTGCTGTTGTGCCGCGGGTGCTGGTTGTTCCAAGACAGGTCTCCGACTACATTTTTATAATATTTTAAAAGAGAAATTAAATTAAAAAGATAACTTTATAACTTAATATTTTACTTACCAAGTTGGACAACTTTGTTGTCTTTCTAACCAACTTCTTAAACAATGAAAATGGAAAATGTGTCCGCAAGGTAATTTCTTAGGTACATCTCCCAAATTATTATTGCTTCCTTGCCTAGACTGAGGTCTATCTCCGTTGTTATTTCGTTGTGGATCTGCATTATTATTATTATTATTCGCATTATTATTGGAAACTATCATTTCCTCCCGGCAGATAATACAAGTACGATCGCTTAATCGTTCAAGTTCCTCGTTAGTAGCATTAGGATAACGTTCATTCATATTTCTAGTAGCACGACGATATCGTACTAAATCTCCACATTTTTGAAGAAATGATCGAAGCGTTACATAAACATCCCTTATAATATGTAATGGGATTCCATATGATACAAGAATTATAGCGAAAAAGATAAGATATACAATCAATTTAAAGAAATCTACATAAAAGATAAATTATAAATTAGATTAATCTAAAATTACTATTATACACCAACATTAATTATTTACCAATCACCAATTCCAAATAGAAAACATATATTGATTTATTCTCCCATGGTTCTTCACGTCTCATATCAATTACATTAAATGTATATTTGAAAATAGTAGACACTATCGTTGCAGCAAGAATGGAATACTAAATAAATAAATTATAATTTAGAACATATGATTAGAATGTTATAACAAATTAATATAAATAATACGCACTTCAAATGCAAACATTATCATCATATTTGGTCCATTTTGCACTGTTACATTAATGGCATATGATGCCAAAATCAAATCAAATGCAACCAATATTTTCATTAATGAAACCATCCGCACATGAAATGAAATTGGTACAGCTGGTGACTGTTCCATCTGTTTATAACCAATTTCTTTAGTAAGAAATAAAAAACTATTATAAATAATTAAAAAACTTCCAAAATTGGTATTTTATTATCAATACTCACAAATTCTACTCGATCTTGACATAACCAATGAAATGTTTTTAAAAACAATAAAGTCGTGAACGTTACAACGAACCTAGTATTGAATTCATCTCGGAATATTGTCATGGCTAAGCATGTTTCGGTGATAGCATACCATGACCTTTCGTATAAATGCTTTAATATAAATTGCAGAAATAATTTGTAAATTTAATGAAACTGAAAAAATTTATTTAAAGAATCGTTTTTATACCTCAATTTCAACAGCACGTAAACGTCCGAAAAATATCGTCTGAAGTATTTTACCCAAAATTATCGTTAGGAAAAAACCCATATTCATTAAAATCTAACAATAGTAGTAGGTGTATAATCGATTTGAAATTAAATGATAATTATATAAAACCAATGTGAAAAAAAACGCGATTGAAAAAAAACAAGTATATCTTTTCAAAATTGCAGATCTTTAAAAACTATAAAAGATTTTCACTTTTGATACTCAGTAATTTATCAAAAGTTCGTATAAATATCACTTCAACCTACCATAATGCAAGCACTAGATTTAGACAAATATATACACGCTGCATAGAAATTAGGTCTTTGACGAAATGCAGCTGCGATAATCGAGAGTGTCAATAGAGTGCTGATTCCACCGTAAACTGCTAAGCGAACCATCTTTGAATACCAATAATTCTATATAAATGAAATAAATACAAAATTGTCTAAAAATCAAAAAAAAAAATTTTTTTAAAAAAAGAATGAATTAACCCAAAGCCATTAAAAAGCAGGCTTTGTAATTTATTGCGAAAAAAAAAAAAAAAAAGTTTTAGGTATTTATATCATAATGATATTCCACTATATTATGCCACGTATATTGCGTATTGTAAAAAACACCAAATTAGAGAATGATACACGTGGTTTTCGGTGGTTTTAAAAAAATATTATTAAAGAATACTAAGATTAACAGGGTAACTCTGTGTTTCATTTTTACTAAAAAATCTGCAAGACATACTATACTCAATTTAAATGTAAAATTGATATTACTAATTTAATATTAAAAATATATAATATAAAATTAGCATTTTAAATTTAAATAAAAAAAAATTTATTTGCAATTTAAATATCTTCAAAATATAATTTAATACAAATAAAATATTAACAATAATCTTTTAAAATAAAAATTAATTTATATTAGTTTAAAAAACTAAAAGTATATTTTTTACTAAATTTTTTCAAGATATTAAAAATAATATAAAGTATTTAATATAAAAAAATTATTAGATTAAGAATTTTTTAATAAAATTTATGAATTTTATTGCATTTTTAATTTTAATGATATTAGATTAAAATGTAATAAGATTTTAATTTAGTTAAAATATTTAGAAGTTGATTTAGCTATTATGAAGTCACAGGATTTTAAGTAAGTAGCAGTCTTATAAGATTGCTACCTACTTAAAATCCTGTAGCTTGTTTTAGGTTATTTTATTACTGTGATTTTATGAAGTAAAATTATGAAATATCAATCCTGCAACTTCATAATTTTATTTTATGAAGTCCTAATTTTCCTGTCCTATAAATTTCATAATCTTACTTTATAAAGTTATAGAGTTTATAATTTAATAGTGATGTCATAATCTAATAGAATTTGTTTTTCTATTTATCTATGATCTTTTTATTATCAAAGAATTATTCATATGCTTATATTACTCTGTATTCTTTTTGTATCCAAAGAGCTATCTATTTGTTTACTTGCTTCTGGGTCTATTTAGTAGAATTGCTATCAAAATCACAAAATTCAAAATCTCAAATTTTAAAACCTTAAAATCTAAAATCCTGAATGATACAAAATCTCAAAGTCTAAATTATTAAATGATATAAAATCCTAAATTTTTCTTTAAATATATATATTACAGCATATAAGTGTATCTTAGTGATACCTGACAAAATTACCTTTCTTAATATAACGAAATTGACGAAACTGAAATGACGAAACTAGTTTTTTATTAATGATGAAATTATTTTACTTAATTGCTGAAATTATATTTAATTTGATCTAAATTCCTTGAATTAAAATACATTAAAAAATATAATAATTTTATATTTATTCATATAAAAATATTAAAGAGATGAAACTTTTGATAAAATTACAATTTTTTAAAAAAGAGTTTAGTCAGGTATCACTAGTGTATATCATATGATTTTATTAAAAATTTTTTTATTATATCACAATTGATGATTTAATATTTTACTTATATAATAATAAAAAAAAGTTTAATCAGAAAGAGTTTTACTTATACAAATAAATAAAAAATTTTTAGCAGGATAATATTTAAATACTTAAATATCACTTGCAAATTACTTATAATATATGTTACTAATTCAAAGTAATTTTCTGTGACTGACCTATGATATATTAACTTACAGTAATTTTTATGAATCAATCATATTTATTATCTTTAAATATGATATAAAGTACTATTTATCATATTAAATACAACTATAATATAAGATTATGCATAATATTACAAAGAAATTCTATAATAGAACAGTTTTCTTTATTATTAATTGCTGTTATTATTCTTGTTCTTTTATAATTAAGGCTTTTTTTACAGGATATGATTTATCATGAATGATACGTTCAACTTGAAAGTCTACTTCTATGAATATAATTATCTTCAAATTATTAAATAACTTCATTTGCTTCTAAAGGAATTTTAAGCTATAAGATATCAAATGTCTCTGAAATTTCCTATGATAGTAAAAATGCTAGCACAAATAAATGTCATAATATTAAACTAAATTGTTCATCATCACCATATCTAGTAGCAAGTCTGCATAATTGAATTTTCACTATTCTGAATGATATAAATGAAAAAAATATTTCTTATTTTAACATTAGAAAATATATGACGTGATATATTGATTGATGCTAACTCAAAATTGGTTAGAAAGATTGAAGGTTGTAAGATAATATCATTTTTACTATAAAATCAATTAATTTTTTGAACAAGCATCTATAGATTTCCTTTGATTTGCTTATTATTAATGAATAGACAAGTGAAAGAATTCTTGAATTTTCATTATTAACAGGCGTATAAATGGTATATAATTGAAAAAACTGTTGAAACAGTTTTGAAAGTACTATCTATTAATTAAAATGAAGCCTGAAATAAGCGTTGAATATTTGTTAGTATAGCAAATAGTAAAATTTGATTATTACCAATTTCATTATCCCTTATTAAAAATGTATCATCATTTAAAGTTGAATAAAGTAAATTTAGAACAATAATTTCTTTAATGATTTGCGGTTAAACAGGCATTTCTGCTTTTTTAATATGATTAATTCTTGCATGAAGATATTAGAAGATGTCATGTAAGGTTGATACTCTTATAACATACTAGAAGTAATATCTTGAATTATTTGAAAAGGTTTATCTTGTGTTTCAAGATGGTTCCTATAATTATTTTTAAAATTTTTAACTAGTTGCAACTTAAGTTACAACATTTTGAGTTGCAACTATTTATGAATTTTTATATTAAAATAAATTTACAAGGAGTTGCAACCAAGTTGTAACTCAAGTTGCAACTTCTTAATTATGGTGTTCATCTTTACTTGTGTTATATAAGCTTTCTGTTTGAAAGATTCTATTATTTGTTTCTTTTTGCAACTTCCCAACAATATATGTATACGTGAAATAATAAAAATATCAGAGCCATTTTTTAATAGTTCTATTCTTATGACATTTTATTAATCAAAAAATTTTCTTTATTCTTACCCCTCTCCCTTCTTAGGCCCTTTGATTTTTGGTTTAGGTTTACAGGATTTTAGGTTTGCTTTTTATGTAAGTTCTATTATTTTCATTATTTTCTAAGTTATTCGATAAGGACCTTTCTTTCATCCCTATATTTGTTTTAGGAAGGTCAGGTAAATTAAAGTACTTGTATTTCGTGTTTTGTTTGATATATGTAAACTTTATATGGGAACTTGTTAATAGAAAGGGGGGAAATCTAAAAAAAAAAAGTTTTTATGAGTTAAAGTTAAATCTGGACTTATTTTACTAAAAAAATCATATTTAGCATATGAAGTAAAATTTTAATTTTTTTTAGATTTCCTCCTTTTCTATTGATATGTATTTATATTAGTAAAATGTTATGTATTATAATAAAGATCAAACCAGTTCATTTTTATAAGATTTTTTATATTGTGTTATCAAAGTTTTTGAAACGTGTATTCTCGCGATCAGAGTATAAAATACATATGAAAAATTTTTTTGATTTATTTATGTTCTTTGAGCAAGTCCAGACCAAGTCAAGTTTATTTTATAAAATCAAATAATCCTTTTAAAGTAATTTTTTCCCCTCGAGCTCTTAGTCTCGTAACCTCTGTTTCTAATTCGTCGACAAGTCGTTCTATCTGATTATAATAGGCACGAAATCTTTGTCCTTGATTTTTTAGCCGCGCATCATTTTCATCATTGAGTAATCAACTCCATCTTCGCAAATAAATAAATATCTTGATTCGAAACTTCTAATTGAGATTTTTAATAGATGTAATCACATTGGTATATTCCCATTTGATATTTTAAATTTTTCAAGCCTTCATTCATTTATCGTTCTAATATGGCACGTTGTTATATCCTTTTTGTCCTGATTTCATTGAATATTCAATTCTTTATTAACTTTAGTATATAACGCAAGGTGGTTCACCTTGAGTATTTTCTGAATAAGTCCTGATCGAGTCTCGTTATTATTAACATTGATTTTTTTTTTTAAATGAGACGATCATTCCGCCTTTATTCACCAATTGATTTTTTCAATTTTTTCAATGACTTTGTCTGAAATTTAAAGTTTTAAGATTTTGCGCTCTTTTATTTATTTTTTTTTGAGACGGGAGAATACATGAATCTATTTTTGACATTGTAATTTTACTAATTTACTTGTAAAATTTTTTTTTATCAAATATTCTTGTACAACTCGCCTCAATGTAATATAAATCATTATAAATAAGCAAATTTCAGTTACAATTTTTTTTTTGATTCTAGCCTATAACACGGATTAAACGTCGAAATGATATATTCCGAGATGATTTTCTGCGGTGATAAAAACCAAATTCTGTGATGTGATTCGATACCGATTTCGTACATTCTGTGTAATTCTGTGGTGATTCAATCAATTCGGTGTTTTTATGTATTTAAAAAAAAATATAAATAATAAAAATATTTGCTTTAAACTCAATTACTTTTATTAAAATATAACATATTTAATTTTTTTAATGATTAGACAATGTCCATCAACGGTAGATTTCAACCGAAAAGTTGCAAAATAAAATACCTCCAAAATTCGATCTTAAGAATTTCACGTGATTCTGTGATCTAAATTATAAAAATTTTTTTGGAAATATTAAATGTAGTTAGATGCATTTATGCGAATCACAGAAAATCATCGTCCCTGTTCCGAGGATACTAGATTAAAATGCAATCTTAAAAAAAGTTCTCAGAACCCGACTTTTCTAGCAACCTACCTATATACAAAATTTCATATTGTTAAAGAATTTTGATAGATTAAAAACATTAACATTTAAAGGATAGTAGTTAAATAAGTTTTATTAAATTAAATTAATGCAATTTTAATTTTGTTACAAATTAATTGGTAAGGAATTAGGAATTATTTATTATCTTAAATACTATACAATTCATTTGTCCATTTTACTTTTACTTTAATATTATAGGGTTCTCTCAACTTTTTATTATAAGAATAGAAACTTGATAATTTACTTCTTCTCTTGCTATTATAGATATGCAATTATATTTTAATTAGCAAAGTATAGTTTCATGAACAAAAAATATTATTATTATTATTAATTTTACAATATTAGTATACAATTAAAAAGAAATAATATATCTAAATACTCTATAAAAGAACTAATAATATATATTATGCCTTTTCATCCCTTTCATCACTATTGACGTCCTTTCTATTATCAAATGAATCACCACGTTCTAACTTATCATAAACAATATTTTGTTTTTGTGTTTTTTGTTTTTGTTTTGATTCTTGATCTTTAATCCAAGTATAATAACAACTACCAAATAAGATTAAAAAGATTCCACCGACACGACCAGTAGTTAATAAATCACCAAAAATAAAATTCCCAAGAATAGTTTGAACAACTCCACGAAAAGCTGAAGAGATCATATGAGTAACGGGTGAAGTTACTTTAATTTGAAGGAATCCTGCCACATTAATTAAAAAACCAAAAAATCCAGTAATCAAAATACCGATTAAAAAAGTTCTTGATTCACCCCTAGTACTATTTTGTAATAATTCCGAATATTGATTTTGTTCTCTGAACAAAAATATTAATGGTAAAAAGGCAATAGCACTTAATACATTGTTATAATAAACCAATTCTATTGTATTACCTTTTACCACGGTTAAACTTTTTTTAATAACAATAGCGTGCAACGCCGTTGAAATTGATGAACAAATACCAAAAATGATACCAATCAATGAAATTGAGAGTCTTTCAGAAGATACACCGACAAAAAATCCAATACAAACAACAAAGCATGCTAATAAAATCTTATATGATGTTTTTTGACTTAAAAACATAAAAGAGAATAAAACTGTAAATGGAAGTACTAATGCTCTTGCAACCTGATAAAAACTTGCATCTACATACTGTAGACATATTGTATTAAAGCTAAGTCCCAAAACATTTATTGCTATTAATGGTAATAATCCTATGCATTTTTCTTTGTCAAGTATTGGTAATTGTAAAATACCGAATATACTGGAGAAATGTAATAGAATTACCGCCATTATTACTTGAAACCAAAGCAATGTGAAAGGCAAGGAGACGCTATTTAACACCCACTATCAATGATAAAAAGTGTGTTAATAGAATTTCTTGAACCTTTCTCCCTATAAAGTAACATTTGAAAATTACCTTATTCACAAATACCATTATCAATGCTGTTACAATGTAAAATGATACCGAAAATATCACCATACCACGACTAATTATTTCTTGACTTTTACTCATTTTGAATTTATTTACTATAAAATGTTGGTGGAAATAATAAAAATAATAAAAAAAAAACTGTGAAATGTTATTAATTTATTAAAATTCTGAGCAAATTACACAAACCTGTTTGCCAACTCTGGAAGATCGTTAATTTCATAAAAAACGTTAACGTTAAAAGCTTAATTCGAAATTCAAAATACTCAATAACCATTTAGCCAATCATGATATGCCAAATTTTTTTTAATTTTTTGATAACTGAATTTTTGTCAGGTGCCTTCCCCCGTAAAGTTTCCATATATGAGGTCATTTATGACGAATTTAAATAATGATCGGCAAATTTCCCATAGCAGACGTTGATTTAGTTTTTTGTGACATTCAAAAATTGTTACTAAATTTAGAAGATAAACCGAAGCATAAAAACCATCCGACCTTCGTTCGAATACTTCCATTGTAATTTTTTATTTTTTTTGGTTTAGAAACAGTTCTTTAAAACCTCTCATTACAATAATGTCAAATGTAACTCATAAATCTATCGTTCAACTTAAAAAAGAGGCTAAAGTTATTTATGAGCCTAATCGTTTTAGTATAAAGCAATGGTTAACTTCAACATACAAAATACTCGATGTGGTACGTTTTTCTACTAATGTTGCTAAATAATTATGTATTTGATGATTATTTTACATTGATTTTATAGGCAAAATTAGCAAAAGAAACTAAAGAGGAGAATGCCCTCGAAACTGTTTATATAAATAATATAAGAGCTACAAGGTAAATTCTTTTCAATTCTTTAAACGAGAACATACTATCAACTAATCTTTACATATACATACATAAATATATATATTTGTTCTTTTCTTATCAGTATATTATTAGAAATAATACCTAAACACAGAGACTATCATCTTGAAATTCATAATCGAACAGGATCAACTTACCCTGATTTCGTCAAATTAAAAAGTGTAAGACCTGTACTTTATTAATAGAATTTGATTCGTTTATGATATTTATCAAATGCTAATTAATTAATTATTAATTTTAGAGACTTAATGAGATTGTGGCTGAAGCCGAAGAGGCGGCTAAAATATTGGTAGAAAGAGTACCCAACGAGAATATATTGGAGGGACAAAAAGATCAGAGAAATTCGAATTTATCATCATCATCGAATAACTCCATTCAAATGCCAATGCCTCAACTTTCACCAGATGGATCATTAAATTCAAATTCTGCATTAGATGAACATTCAAATTATGGTCTTCCTCGTTCACCTGTTTATATAGTATCAGAAAATATGATTGGTAGTGTATCTTTAGATAATTCCTCAGATTCAATGATTCCAATGACTCCATCTGTTGCAGAAAGATTAAAAAGTTTACAAAATAGCGGTTTAAACGTTGATAGTGTGCATCCAAATATCAATAAATCGCTTGCTAAAGATACTTCATCTACGTTGAGTGGTATTGATTTTAATACTTCGACTTCACCAAAATTATTCATGCCAACTCCGATTCCAACTCCTCCTACATCTGTTAGTAATGATAATTCAATGCATAATAAAATATCATCTTCACCTACTACGTTATCAACTGGATCGAATGCTCAAAAATCCAATGTTGATCCTTTCCTTGATTTAAAGGTTTCGAATTCAATAAGTGCTGGGGATCTGTTAAAAATTTTCAATAAAACTGATCATCCTCCAACTATATTAATACTGGATGTTAGAAATAGGGAAGAATTTGATGTAGGACATATTAAAATCGATAATATAGTTTGCTTGGAACCACTCATTCTAGCGGAAGGGTTAGTTTAATAATTTTAATAATTTCTTTTATTATGTTATTTAAAATAATTTGCTTGAACTTTTTTTTTAAAAAAAACAAAACAAATTAGAATTTCTAGCATAGACCTGGAAAATAACCGTTTAATACTTTCTCCAGCAAAAGAACAAGCATTATTCAAGGATCGTGATAAATTTGATTTGGTTGTGCTCCACGACAAGGATTCGACTTATGTTCCATCAACAGGAAAATTTAATTCACCTTCAGCAATTGGACGTGATAATGCTTTGTCATATTTAAAGTCGGCGATTTATGAAAATGATTATCAAAAAAAATTACGAAGACAGCCTGTTTTATTAAATGGAGGTTATGTAGCTTGGAAACGTTTAGCTGGTGATAATTGGATCGAGAAATCTAATACTATTATTCAAAGTAATGGAATCACCAATAATGACAGTGGTACTGAACCGATAAATGTACCTAGAGATAGGACATCGTTAAATAACGACCTTTCAAAGAGAAACGGGTTTGTAATTGCAAATGAGGATTCTGCTTGGGCTGAAAATATGAATATAAGGTATGATTTATTCATCGGGTTAACATAAAGCATCAAAAGTTTTTTCACATGTTTATTAACGTACAGAATTGTGATTGAACCTAAAGTGTATTTATTAATTTGAATGTTTCCTTTTACCTTTTTTTTTTGCATAATAATAATATTATTATTATTATTTATTTATTAAATAAGGCCAGTAAACTCTCCTTCTAAAACAAATGATATTATTAGTAAAATACAAAACAATGAACCTATTAGCTCTGGTAGAGCTCATTATATTACAAATATATTTGAACTAGTGAGTAATTATTATTCTATTTATTTTCATTCTTTATTAAAGTTATATTAATTATTATTATTATTATTATTTTTTTTAAAAAAAAACCATCTCAGTTTCAAAATCCTTCTATTCAGTCGATGACTGAATGTAACTATGTGGAGCATTCATCAAATAATTCTTCTATACCTTTTCAATCTATGCCTACCCCGAATAAAATTAGTTCAGAATTGTCGTCTTCGCCAAAAGATTTATCATCGATTTCGAATGAGACAAAAATTAATCCGGAAAGCATTTCTACGTTAAATTCATCTCAATCTGGTAGCCAACTAAAACGTCGTACAACTAGATTTGATAATCCATATTATAGCTTTAGTGAAGTAAAAAATCCAAATTATGTAACTAAACCACCAAAACCAAGTCGTCAGCCTCCACCAATACCGTCTCCAAATAGACCTTTGCCTCAACCTCCTGAATCATCCTCGAAAGGACAAAATATATCAATTCCTTCACTTAATAATAATGATTCTACACCGAGTCAACATATTCCTAGTTTAGGACAAACTAGTATGCAACAAAGACCGTCCTCAAGTGCCGGTCATCATCAACGATTCCCAACTTCTGATAGTAGTTTTTCTCAATTGGGATCAGGAATTGGGTCAACTGGGTTAAAAAATCTCGGGAATACTTGTTTTATGAATTCTGTTATTCAATGTTTAAGTGGTACGGTTCCATTTGCTAGATACTTTTTGGATGGTAGTTATAAGCGACACATCAATAAGACCAATCCTTTAGGAACTAAAGGAGTATTAGCTGAAGCATTTGCAACATTAATTAGAGTGTTATGGAGTGAACAATATAATTTTGTTTCTCCTGTTTCATTCAAAACAGCAATTGGTCGATTTTCATCACAATTTTCTGGTACGGAACAACATGATTCTCAAGAATTTCTTGCATTTTTATTGGATGGTTTACATGAAGATTTGAATCTTATTGTGAACAAACCAATAATTCCTGATATGACTCCTGAAGAAGAACAACAAATGGAACAAATGGAATGCATTTCTCCGCAGATTGTATCAGAAATAGAATGGGAAAAATATTTGAGGCGTAATTCTTCTGTGGTGGTTAGTCTGTTTCAAGGACAATTTCGTAATACTTTAAGATGTTTAACTTGTAATAAGACATCTACAACTTATAATGCATTTATGTACCTTTCATTACCAATTCCTCCAAATTATAATGGAGGGAGTGTAACTTTACATCAATGTCTTGATGCCTTTATTAAAGAGGAAATATTAGATGGAGATGATGCTTGGAACTGTTCTAGATGTCGATGTCCAAGACGGGCAATAAAACAACTTAGTATTTCAAGGTTACCAGATGTTTTGTTGATACATTTAAAAAGATTTTCGTTTAGTGGACCGTTTAGAGATAAATTGGAAACTATGGTTAATTTTCCTATGAGAGATTTAGATTTAACATCATATGTACCAACTCCTATTGAAAAACCTACGTCAATTGGATGTAACACTCAACATGAATTACCGGGCACAGGAGCTGGGAATCATCATTCTCTACAACAATCTGGACCTTTTGTATATGATTTATTTGCTGTTTCGAATCATTATGGAGGGTTAAATGGTGGACATTACACTGCTTGTGTAAGAAATGGATATAGGCATGAATGGCACAACTTTGATGATAGTAGGGTATCAAAATATGACGAAAGCAGTGTTGTGGTGAATATAATTTTACTTTAATTTTTTTTTCTTATAAAAAACGGGAATACTTATAATATAATTGCTTTCGTTCTCTAGTCTCGTGCGGCATATAATTTATTCTACGTAAGAAAAAGCATTTGATGTGTATATTTCATAGCAAACTGTGTCGGTTACACCAACTGAAAGAAGTGTGAAATGATGAGTCACATTAATATATTTAATAGAATGACCAATGTGTATTATAGTTATTATATTATATGTTAATAAATAATAATAGTCTATCAGTTTATTTAAGACATTGATTATCATATCCATTTTTATATCACAGACACATTCTTATTTATCTATTATATAAACGCGTTCGTTGCAAATGGTTTTTTTTTCTTATTTTTTTTTTTTTTTTTTTGGACGAAACTTTTAAGCTTTAAAAAAATAACTTGGACTTTTTTGAAATGTTCGTTTTTAATATTTTTTTTTTCTTAGTAAAAAAAAAATGGTTATATATTATACACGGATAAATAAATAAATAATCGCGTATAGTAAATTTTTTTGTAGAATAATGATTGTTACGAGAAATTATGTCAGAGAAGACGACGATTATGCACCCTCTGATAATGATGAAATTTTAGTTTCAGAAGAGGAAGATTCTGGTGATGAATACGTCGTAGAAAAGATTTTAGAACATCGAATGAAAAAAGTTGGACTTCATAAAATATGTGTTTGTTGTTTTACGATGATGAACGCGAAATTTCTTATGAAAATTCTTTAAAATATTTTATTTAAAGGGAATCACGCAGTTTTATCTTAAGTGGAAAGGGTTTCCTGAAGAAGATAATACATGGGAAAATGAATCAGATATGTACGTTTAATATACATGTATTTTGGAGAAATTACTTTATAATCATTTTATAAGCTTTTTTTTTATTTTTTTTGTAATTTATTAGTTTTGCAAAAGAACTTATTGAAGAATATTGGGAAAGGAAAAATGAAGAGAGTAAATCAAAAAAAGAAGAAAATTTTGATAAAATTTCAAAGAAACTGAATATGATAACAAATCACCAAGATAAACTACGTAAACGTAAACTCAGCGAATCATTTATTGAAGAACCAGATTTTTCTTTACTTGAAGATTATCCTCCACCAAGTCTTACTAATTGGGAAGAAGCTGTTGATGATGTTGAAACTGTTGAAAGAGATTCTGAAGATAATGACGCGATTTTGGTCTATTTAAATTGGTATTTGAAATTTCATTTTGTAATTTATGGTGGGAAAAATTTTTTAGTTAAACTATTTTTTTAAAAAATTCAAGGAAAAATGGTCATAGAACAAGACATCCAGCTTCTATCGCTAATTTAATGTGTCCTCAAAAGGTAACCTTAATATTTAATCCATCATTAAAGCTTATAATTAAAATAATTAAAAATCAATTGTCTATTTTATGTAGATAATTCGTTTTTATGAGAAGAATTTGAAATTTAAAAATCTAGAAGACTGAATTCGAATTATGATTGAGGTTTAAAATATTAATAATTTTGTTGATTCTTTGATTAAAAATTATTAAAAATTGATTTTAGGATTAGATCGTTCAATTACTTGGTTCATGATTTTTTTTTTTTATAAAAAAAAAAAAAAACCTTCAAAATTTTGGAATAATTTTTGAAACTTTATAAAAATGCTGATTAGAATCGTGATTTAGAACAGTAGAAATTGTGATTATGATAATATATATATATAAATATTTTTTTTCTAAATAGATCGATCCACTTAAGATAAATATAATAACTCCCAATTATAATCTTTAATAATAATTTTATCAAATCGACATCTAATTTTAGAATAAATAGCGATAGGAGTATTAGAACCTTTGTTTCATCCTGGCAGTAATTGTTCTTAAGTTTGCGTGTACTTTCCCTGGTGGACTACCTAATATTAATGATACAACTGAATCACGCGCAATCTTAATATTTTGATATGAACCTAAAATATGTATAGATCTTAAAAAAAAAAAATGTGAATGATTTTAATAAAAATAAATAAATTATTCAGTAATATTTAATAAGAACACTCACGTTTCTGCCAATACGATTCTTGTTTTGGAAGTATTTTCAATGGCAAATTTTACTTTACCATTTTTACCTGCTATACGACCAATTGCACGAGACAAGTGATCATCTCCCAAGGTTTTTACTAAAAAAAAAAATTATTTATTTAAAAATTCTTATCGTAAAAAAGTTTTATAAGATTCAGTATACCATCTTTTATGTCAAATGAATCTATGTAAAGATCGTCAACACGTAAAATTGCTATTGCATCCTACATAATGTTAAAAATTCTTTTAGTGAAGGCCTCGAGAGAATCTTTTAAATTCAATTTAGCAACCATACATCAACATCAAATCCCAACATGAAAGCCTTTATAAAATCTGCAGCCTTTTGAAGTGATCCGGGATCTTCTGTATATTTAGATGTCTAAGAAAATTTATAAAATTTGCGATAAATAAATAATCAATTATTTTTTTTTAAAAATAAATTTAAATATACAATTGATTTACCTTTATCTCAACACGATTTGATCTTACGTTCATTTTAACTTGTAAATTTAAATGTTTTACCAGAGGTTCATAAATTTTTTTCCATTCTTTTTTGAGTGGTGTAAATCTATTTGGTGGAACCGATATTCTACGAACTTGTGGTGCACCATTCTAACAATGATCTTAATGTATTAATTTTTCATTCAAGTCGTTTCACATGTGAATACATACCAACTGCACTTACATTAAGTTCATTAATAGTAGCAGGACGAAATTTTGGTCTAACAGTTTCCTCCTCGTCAGTTAACTTTTTTGTTCCCGTTGTTTCTTCTATTTTTTCTCCTGATATTGGGACATATCCAGCATCAATCATAACTTCATCATCAATGTCTTTAATTTTATTAGACATTTCGTAGAAAAAGTGCTAACAAAAAAAGAAAAAAAAAAGTTTTTTTAAATTCATTGGTCTGTACCACCTAATTTTGATAAGATTATCTTGAAAAAAATTTTATTAAATATCAAAAAAAAAAATTATTATATTCAATTTTTTTTTTATTTAAAAATGGTTCTTAAAGTTTCGAACCCTAACAATGTTAAAATATACACAGTTTCTGGATCTGGATCTCGCTCAATACCAGATTGGTTAGAAAGAAGAAAAAAAAGAGTATTAAAAAACGATCCAGGTAATTTTAATAACTGTTGGCGTTTCCTTCGGAATTTGGAATTAAAAATTATAAATACTATCTTTTTGTATAGAATGGACTTCTAGAGTTGAATTGATTCAAGATTTTGAGTTTCCTGAAGCTTCTTTACGAATAAAAACGACAAGGGATGGTCGTTTTTTAATGGCGACAGGTATGAAATTATTATTATTATTATTATCATTAAAAAAAATGTTCACAATTCGTAATTTTTAGGTGTTTATAAACCGCAAATCCGTGTTTATGAATATTCAGAAATGTCAATGAAATTTGATCGACATACAAATTCAGAGAATGTTAATTTTGTGGTAAGGATATAAATCTCATTCTAGTCTTCATTAATTATAATGTAATTCATATTTTTGAAATTATAGATATTATCGGATGATTGGACCAAATCCGTGTTATTACAAAATGATAGAATGATTGAGTTCCATAACCAAGGTGGAATATATTATAATATTAGAGTTCCAAAAGTAAATTAAAAAAATATATATATATATTTTTTTTTTCCATCCAAATCGAAACTATTTTGATACTAAAAGACATTGGTCATTTTTAATATAGTTTGGAAGAGATTTAGTATATCATTATCCTTCATGTGATCTACTTGTAGGAGCATCGTCACATGAAGTATATAGGTTAAATTTAAGTCAAGGAAGATTTTTGAATTCATTTTCAACAGATTCAACAAAGGGAGTAAACGTTACAATAATAAATCCAGCACATCAATTATTCGGGTTCGGTACAGAAGATGGTACAATAGAATTGTGGGATCCTAGATCAAGATCAAGAATTGGTTTATTGGCTCCACAATTACCTCCTTCAGCCTCTTCTTCAATGAATCTTAATAATTCATTTCAAATTACGGCTATGGAATATAGAAATGATGGACTATCTTTAGCAGTTGGAACTTCTACTGGTCACGTTTTATTATATGATTTGAGAAGTGCAAAACCATGGTTGGTTAAAGATCATCAATATGGTTATCCTATTAAAAAACTATCTTGGTATGATGATGTTATGGGGGATAGAGAAAAATCTAAAGTTATTAGTGCCGATTGTAAAATTATGAAAATTTGGGATAAAGACAATGTAAATATCCCTAGAGGCTGACTAGAATGTGTATATAATAATTATTTACGAAAGTTTATTCATTTTTTTTTTAAATTTAAATTTGTAGGGAGCCAATTTTACTTCAATAGAGCCCAATACGGATATAAATGATTTTTGTGTTGTGCCGGATTCTGGTTTGATCTTTGTTACTAATGAAGGAATGCAAATCGGTGCTTATTATATTCCTTCATTAGGTCCTGCACCAAGGTGGTGTTCTTTCTTAGATAATTTAACGGTAAATTACATCTGCTTTTTTTATTTTAGTAATCCTTTTCTTTTGAGATTTTCAAAATGAATGTATGTATGTTTTGCTTAGGAAGAAATGGAAGAAAACCCTCAACCAAATATTTATGAAGATTATAAGTTTGTCACTAGAAAGGAATTAACAAGGTAACTATATAACAAAAGTTTGGGATATTTGCATTCATCCACATCAAATATTTGTCTGATGTATAATAAATAAAAATAATTATATTTTTTTTATCGTTATAGCCTTGGCATGGATCATTTAATTGGAACAAATGTCTTAAAGCCATATATGCATGGATTTTTTATGGATTTACAATTATACGAAAAAGTAAGGAAGACCATCAGATTTATTATTAGCTTGTCATTTCATATACCGTATAAATTTTGGATTGCACGATTTATAATCTGAATTAATTCTTATGTTATAGGCCAAACTTATTGCTAATCCATTTGCATATGCTGATTATCGAGAACGTATAATAAAAGAAAAATTAGAAAAAGAAAGAGGATCACGTATTAGAGTAAAAAAGAAATTACCTAAAGTTAATAAGGAATTAGCAAATAGATTATTAAAATCTTCAGAAAAGAAAAAGGACGATAAACAACAAGGAGAAAAATCAGTTGCTGTTATAGTTGATGATGATGTCATTAATCCACTTAAGGATAGAAGATTTAATGAATTATTTACTAACCCCGATTTTGAGGTTGATGAGAATACTACTGAATATAAATTAATACATCCTACCGTATGTATTTTGTTAAAGAATTTTTGACTGATTCTTTTAAGACAATTCAGTTATATATATATATATTCTTATTCTTTTATTTTTATTTTATTTTATTTTATTTTGTAGAAACGGAGTTTGAAGAAATATGATGATGATGAGGATGATGATGAGGATGAACAAATGGAATCTGAAGAAGAAAGTGATGCATCTACATTTGAATCAGAGATTGATAGTGATGAAGGTATTATTATATTTATAGCAACTATTAAGTATAATGCAGTATTTAATTTAATATTCTGTTTATTCTTTTGCAGATTTAATAACGCAAATAAACAAAAAGAATGGGGAAAAGATAAAAGATGAACCAATACGTAAGACACAGTATTTACAAAAGAAAAAGGTTGGGATCATTTTTTACCTCTTTACTTTATAAAAAAAATAAATGTTCTAATATGTTGAAAATACTTACTTTTTAAAGGGAATGAAATCATCAAATAGAAAATGGGATAGTATTGGTGAAATGTCAATGACATTTAAATTAAATAGTAAAAAAGATAATGATTCTCATAATAATAATAATAATAATAATAATAATAAACGTAATAGAAGATCCGCTAGTAAGAATGTATTTAGAGGGTTAGGTTAATAAATCAACTTTTTCTGATTATTTTTGGACTAATATCAGAATAACTATTTAAAAAATCAAGACAATCGAAGATTAATTTGATTTTCAAATTGAATATTTAAATATCAAATCGAATAGCGAATCTTGACTTAATGATCTATAAATATACTTTCATGTGAATATTACATTTTATTTAAAAATGTTAAATAATTTGAAAATTTAATAGATGACACTAAAATTAAACCGTTTGAAAATAAACAAAATTCCTTAGAATTAGAAATTTTCATTTATGCTAATTTTTTACAACTTAAATTAAAAATTTTCATTTATACTGATTTTTTTATTAATCTTTTGTAAAAAATTAGATTTTTTTATGAACTCAGATATGGATTACATATGTTGTATTCCTTTGAAAATAAGCAAATCTAAAAATAAGTAATCCATAATATGGGGCCTTTGTAATAGAAAGGGGGGACACTGCCGGAAAAATAAAAAATAAGTTAATGCTAAATTTGAACATATTCGGCCTGAAAATCATATTTGGTATATAAAAGTAAAATTGATTTTTCCCGACTTTCTATTGCAAAGGCCCCATATAATATAAAAAATAAAATCCTAATTCATTTATATCATTTATGGTTGAATGTGAATCAAAGGCTAGTATTAGAATTGAGAATAAAGATAATATTTTGTAAACATATGACTAAACTGTTTCTTGTGATCCTTATCAATTCATTCTAATAATTGAAAAATATTAGTCTTTTCTAAGAAAAATTATTAACCGACTCCTTATGCTTAAAAGATAGTTTATATAGGATGTCATTAATGTTATCTGCTTCATTACATTATAGAATAGATTAGTAATAAGCTTTGAAAGTGAATTTCTTAATTTTAGAAAGTATATCCATCTGGTTAATTGTTCAGTTTTCTCCACTTTCTGGTATTGTATTCAACATTTGTAAAGTTGAACAAAGATTCAGATGTTTTATTATGTTTTTTTTTATTTCATTTAATATATCTCTAGATTTTGATGATTTTGGTCAGATGTTTATTACCTTTTATAATAACTGATTAGAATTATCATAATTTTAACCCTGAAAAATATGTATAACTAATAATAAAATTTTTTTTGGTTAGACTTTACCTATTTTAGTATTTTTTAGATCCTTATGAGTTATTCTTATTTTTTTTTATAAGTTTATAAGTTTATAAAAAGACTTTAGCAAAATATATTTCATTATTATTCAGATATATATTCTAATAGATAGCTTTAATTTCAATTAATATGTATTTCAAAAAAATCTCTAAAACATAAATCTACTCCTATATAACTAAAATTCTTTAATTCTAAAAATAAATAAATACATCTTAAATATTTTTTCAGCTTCCTTTCTTTCTTTTTTCAATCCTTTTTTCATAAACTATTATAGCTATTATGTAATTATCACCATAATATTCATTTTATTAATAAGATATTTAGACATATACAATTTTTTATAATATTTTAATGTATTCTAATTTTACATAGTATAAACGAAAAATAAGAAAATCTAGGTTTATCAATTATTTCATTTTTCTTAACATAGCAGTATTAATGTAATGCAAAAAACAAAGGTTGCAGATTTAGTTATTTTACAAGATGTATAGTATTTCTTTCAATTTTTTTACAAGAATATAATTTGTCTGAAAAGTTTTAAATGATAAATTTGGATTAATAATATTCTTAAATATTTTTCAACTGATATATCTTAATTTTCATGATTTTTATAGGTCAACTTTAAATCTTAAATATCAGATAATAGGGTTCTGCAATTCGATTTGATATTTGAATATTTGATTTGAAAATCAAATCAAATACAAATTCAAATTTATATTT